TAGGCCGATTCTGGAATACGGCTCGGTGGTTTGGAATCCAAGGTATCAAATTTACTCAGACAAGATAGAATCAATTCAAAAACAATTCCTACTTTTTGCTTTAAGAAATTTCCGATGGGATTCTCAATATAGTCTTCTACCTTATACGAGTCGCTTAAAACTTATTAACCTTCCTACACTTGCCAGTCGCAGGGAAATGCTTGGTATAATTTTTATGGTTAAATTACTGACAGGCTCAATTTCAAGTCCGTCTCTTCTGGCTGATGTAAGCTTTAATGTTCCGTCACGCGTATCAAGACACTTTTGTCCCATATTTCTGAAAGCTTGTAAAACCAATTTTGAATTGCACGACCCACTCCGTTGCTTATGCCAGGATTTTAACTCTCATTCCAGCACGTTTGATATATCAGATCCGCTTTTCAGCATTAAGAAAGCGATACTCTCCTCTCTCAATAAGTGAATTATTGACATAAATACATAAAATCAGCTGATGAATTTAGTTCTGTAGCTGAACAGTTTTAGATCTCGATACTTAACAAACTCCTGCCTATCGTGACTCGGCACAAAAATTTAAAATATTGGTTCCGTTCGTCATGCGGACTGCGCCCCTCGTGCGGATGGGCGGGAATGGAGGGTAAAAACCGTTGGGATATTATTATTATTATTACATTCATTTGTTTACGTTTATGGTAAACTTTTTTGTTTTGTTAGATGTAGTAAAGGCAAGGTTGCCAGATATTTTCGTGGCATAATAAGTACAGTTGGGATCAAAAATCAGTACAAAGCCATAAAAATCAGCTAATTTTTAAGCGTCTTTTTCGTTTACTAACAATATAACAACAATAACAGCGCAAAAATTTAACAAAAAATAACTAATAGATGTTTAAATACATATAGTATTATCAATATTAATTCATTAGTTAAAAAAAAAATCAAAGGTATTACGTATGTATGTACAGTTGTGTTCACAAAAATAGTAGTAAAATGTACTGACAAGTTTAGAAAATGTTTTCTTTCCGTACTTAATTTTAGTAATGTAAGTTGAAGTCTCAAACTTTCTAGAAAATTAATAAAACTGGAAAAAGTAAAACAAAATGTTCATCAAAATATCAACTTTTTATAAGAATTAAAAAAATATGAGTACGCAGTTTTTTAGCCCATTCTGTTTCAGTAGAAGACGGGCTCGAGTCATATAAAAAAAAATTCCTCGAAAATTGTAATTCAAAATTTTAATGTAGTTGATTGATTATTCCTTATTAATGCATACATATTTGTAAACTAAATGGTTCCATTTGAAAAAACAATCTTAACTAATAGCCAAATATAAATTTAGTTTAGTAAATAGAGTGGAGTACTAAACTTACATTTTTTGACTTCCTTTCATGCAAATAGAGGAATATTAACAAGAATTCGATCACTGAGTGGAAGATCGACCTATCTCGGCCTTATTTCAGAAAACTTTTCAAGAACGTCCTATCTCAGAATTCGTTTCTCAGCATATTTTCAATACATTTTCATTTGAGATAGGGCGTTTTTGTACCGTATTCAGAAATAGGGCCTTCTTAAACCAAATTCTGGGATTAGGTGTTCTTCAATCAAATTCTGAAGTAGGGCGTTCTTGAAAAGTTTTCTGATATAGGGCGTTTCCAAACTGGCTATCGAGATAGGTCGATCTTCCACTGAGGTGTCGAAACACCACTACTATTTTCCTACTGCGAAGAAATGTAGGACAGGCGTATAAAAAATTAATAAATGTGAAGTAAATGCATATCGTCACCCTTATACCAGAAGCATGAATGAGCAAATTTACCAATATTGAGTTATTGGGTTGACCTGATTAACCTTTGGATGTTCCATTTTATACAGGGACGTGAACCGGTTTTGAAACCAACCGATTTTGAGCCGGAAAACCTCTTTTTTTCTATAAACTAACTGAACCATTTACCGAACCGAAATTTTCAACAAATGTTTGATCCGAACCGAAAACCGAACCGACCAAATTTTTCATTCGGTTCACGTCCCTGATTTTATACCAAAAGCCAGAATACCATGCGTCCATGAAAAGCATATATTTCATAATGTCAATTACATGAATGCAGAGTTAAGTCTCGTAAAAAACCTTCAAACTTGATTTCCCAAAATTTTAATTTTTACACATTCATGTATCTGGCATGCGGGGAACGATATGCACTTGCCGATTTGTTTTACAAAAATTATTTAAAAAGCAGAAGTCTCGGTTGCTCAGCAAATCAGTTTATCGTTTCTGCAATTATTTCACATTGATTCTCTAAAACAAATTTTCGATGTATGCTTAAAATGCAAAAACTTAAACGTAAATTTTATAAGAAATTAAACTGATAATTTATTAAAACTAGTAGTAACCTCCGAAATGCAGGTGAATGCAGTAAAGAAATACTTACTAAAATTAAGAAATTAAATTTAAGCGTATAATAAAACGTGATATTCTTAAATAAATATACTTCAGTATTGTATTTAGTTGAAGATTTATTTAAAGAACTTCGT